TATTTGGATGACATTTATTTATTAGTATATGTGTTGAATAAGCAACATTGATTATCACGTGATGTGTTGAATTTGCCAAAAAAAAAAAAAAAAAATTCCCAAGGTGACATTAATATTGTACACGATATTATACAATTTTTTAAATATCCTTAGTCTTTATAAACTTNACGGCACTATAGCTAAAAGGTGTCATTAGTGTAATTTGCATCTAGTGCCCTGGTAACTTCATAGCATTGCAGTTCTTCGTACTTTTTCTATCCTATTTGGATGACATTTATTTATTAGGGTATGTGTTGAATAAGCAACATTGAATATTGTGTGATGTGTTGAATTTGCAAAAAAAAGTTCCCAAGGTCACGGTGACATTAATATTGTACATGGGATTAATTATTTTTTGGACTATCTTTTCTTTATAAACCCGTGCTTTGAACCAAAAGGTAATATCATTTCCCACCAGAGTCTGTATAGTTAGGAAAAGCAATTCTTGGAAAGCAATCTCATTGATACTCCCTATATCAGCTCACATATGCTCCACTTAATGGGCATTATTGTCAAAGGATACATCCGCTAATCTAGGGAGCAGTAGCAATGATAACGCTGTAACATAATACTTTTTTTTTTCATATCAGCATTGACTAAATGTCAACAGAATTACTTGCTGAGGCACTATTCTCACAGCAGGAACAAATAACTGTACTTTAGAAAAGAATGGTGAGGACACGGATGTTTGTTTATATGTTTGTGATGGTTATAGTTTGTCCCTAGTGTATGGTTATCTTTACTACTGTAGTCCAAACAGTAAACAGCAGTACTAACCCCATTAAGTATCAAATTCTGGTGCCAGGAATTTTTCTTGAAAGGTTTACTTCCTATTTTATCAAGAAAGAGGTGAATTAAAAAAATGCCTTTGTTCAGCTGAACATCATAATAAGGGGCTCATATTTCCTTAGCAAAATAATCAAAAAACAGACACTGGCTGCAGATTGTGGTTCACATCCAAATCATCAACCATGTCAAATTTCATGATAATATCTGATTTATTTAGAGAGTTACAACAAAAACCGAATTAAAAGGCAGCAAAATTGGAGAATAAAGCTTGGCTGCCTGGTATCCATTTAATCTGCGGGGGTGGAAAATGAAGCAACAGAAAATGGACTTTTTTCTTTAAAAGTGTTTGTTTTTATTGCAATAATACATGTATTAAGATAAGTATTTGAAATTTTCTTATAAACGAAATGAGAGGGAGCTATTTTGCTTAATAATAATATTTATAATAAAAATTATTAATATTATTATAATACCAATACCTCCTAGGGGGTTCACGTGAAGGAGATAGATGTTAAATTTCAAAATCATTTTTGAATGTTAGTCATCTTGTATGGACTTTCTTTCTGTCATGTTATTGGGATCAATCCCAAAAATTGATTTATTTTCATAAAAAAATAGACCAGTGTACAACTAAGTACTAGTACAGATTCTTTTGTTTTGTTGTATAAGACAGTATATTTGACAGCGGGCAGATATAAATATCTGTCCATATATAGACTCTTAGAGTGCATTCCCAGAGATTTTGATTGTTCCATCCAGATCGACCTAACTCCCTGGGGGTTCACGCTAAATTGCAGTCAGCCGAGCGCCCACGGTAGTTAATTACCCCCTTACAGCTGTTAGTAGGCGTGACAGATGCTTAAGCCAGGTAAGCTCACAATAATCTAGTGAGACTCCCCACAGGGATAGATTGATCTAAAATCTGTGGGAATGGGGTCTTATTCGTAGATAGTATTGTAGGATTCACCAGACAGTTCTTTTCACAGTTAATTGGTTATCAAATATCTTTCTTGGCTAACGGGCTTTCTTGTTTCCCTCTGGGAATTTCTGTTGTTTGCAACAGCGTCAAATTTGGCTGACAGGATTGTCTGACATTTGAATTTAAAACCATAATAGCTTATATAAAAATCTTTATGTAGGCTTTAGGATTGGATACAGTCTGTTTCATTTCACGTATTAACCTCATCAAATAGTTATTGGAATGCTATTTCCAAATCTTTTTTCATGTCGTGTGTACCAAAACAATACTTCAAAAAGACCACCATTACCATCTGCTTCAAGAAGTTTTGCCTGTCATAGGACATAACAATGTACTAATCCTTGAAGTTTTATGATACTAGTAATTGTTGAAATTAACCTTTTGTATGATGCATAAATCTAGCAATATTTAAAAAGATTATTCTCAGTATCTAGCATCTAGAACATGTAACAGGATATATTTGATATTGCAATTATAAAACCACTATCAGCATTCAAATGTTTCCAAGCCTTCTCTCTTTGCCTCACATCTTTTGACTGTTAATTTAACTTCAATATCCTATATCTCATTTTGTGAAAAATATATCATGGGTCTTTTATGCCCAAAGGCACAAAACAGCCAAACCGTCTTGCTGTGACTTTAATTGTTTTCCCAGAATTTTAGTCACAAGAGATTATTTTTATGGAAAACAGTGCATGGTCATTGTAAGTGATGCTGAATAATATCTGGACACCACAGAGTTTATGGGACAAAAAAAGGTTTAATGTAAAGGGTGGGTTCTCTCTTAACTCCCCCCCCCCCGATTCCCCACCCATAAGTCTAATGCTAATTTTTTTATTATTTAATTAAGGACCTTATCTTTTCTTTCAGTTTTAACAGTGGGCCAATTTCTTTGACATAAATTGATAAGTTGTGATAAGACTTTTGTTTTATGTATTTCAGATTTCAAGATGTAAAACAGGAGAATGATCTTCAGATAAGCAACAGTCACATGAAGTGAGAAGCAGAGGCTATATTACAGAATATAACTAAAACAAAAAGAAAGAAGTTACAGGATGAACTTGGAAATCTAACTGCAATGTGAAAGTTGACCACACGCTGAACTTTTGATTCCTGTGAGACCCTGATGTGAATCCTGGAATGACCAAAGAGATAAGGATGTGATCCAAGAAAGTTTCCACCACTTCGATTGAAGCACGAAAAAAGAATCTAGCATTTTCCTTCAAATCAGGATGATTTACCATTGCTGCGCCTCACAATTCCAACAAATGGAGTCATTTCTTGAATGCCACTGACTTCTTTTAATGTCACTTGTCTTAGATTACATTGTGGTTCATTTTCTTAGTCATTCAATAGCTGTAGTTTATAAATACCTTGTGTAACCCACATTCTGAGTGTCAGCTAAGGCCGATGTGACAGAATTCAGGTTCAATTATCCAGATTAGAATGAGGAAAGACACTGATTACGAAATACATCTATCCAAACTAATATCTCGAGGATCTGCGTGTTGTCTGTGTCATAAGAAGAAGACTAATGAGATTGAACCAAGGAAAATTGCTGTGATTGCCTGCTGAAATGAACCCTTGCGGTAAGAATCAGCTGCCTGTGATGATTCCAGGAACTCATTATATACGTGCAATCATTGTTGTGATGTTAACTTGGGAGTTCACATTATTTTCATTATAGATGTACTGTTGTAGTAGCAGGGACCAAATGGATGCATAGAAATGTGCAAATTGACAAAATAGTTCTGGATTTCATTGGTGTCAAAACAAGTGTTCAAGAAAGCCATTGCCAACGTGTTTGGGTAACAGAGTGATGTCAATTCATCAACGATACAGGAAGATNTTATTGGGATCAATCCCAAAAATTGATTTATTTTCATAAAAAAATAGACCAGTGTACAACTAAGTACTAGTACAGATTCTTTTGTTTTGTTGTATAAGACAGTATATTTGACAGCGGGCAGATATAAATATCTGTCCATATATAGACTCTTAGAGTGCATTCCCAGAGATTTTGATTGTTCCATCCGGATCGACCTAACTCCCTGGGGGTTCACGCTAAATTGCAGTCAGCCGAGCGCCCACGGTAGTTAATTACCCCCTTACAGCTGTTAGTAGGCGTGACAGATGCTTAAGCCAGGTAAGCTCACAATAATCTAGTGAGACTCCCCACAGGGATAGATTGATCTAAAATCTGTGGGAATGGGGTCTTATTCGTAGATAGTATTGTAGGATTCACCAGACAGTTCTTTTCACAGTTAATTGGTTATCAAATATCTTTCTTGGCTAACGGGCTTTCTTGTTTCCCTCTGGGAATTTCTGTTGTTTGCAACAGCGTCAAATTTGGCTGACAGGATTGTCTGACATTTGAATTTAAAACCATAATAGCTTATATAAAAATCTTTATGTAGGCTTTAGGATTGGATACAGTCTGTTTCATTTCACGTATTAACCTCATCAAATAGTTATTGGAATGCTATTTCCAAATCTTTTTTCATGTCGTGTGTACCAAAACAATACTTCAAAAAGACCACCATTACCATCTGCTTCAAGAAGTTTTGCCTGTCATAGGACATAACAATGTACTAATCCTTGAAGTTTTATGATAATTGTTGAAATTAACCTTTTGTATGATGCATAAATCTAGCAATATTTAAAAAGATTATTCTCAGTATCTAGCATCTAGAACATGTAACAGGATATATTTGATATTGCAATTATAAAACCACTATCAGCATTCAAATGTTTCCAAGCCTTCTCTCTTTGCCTCACATCTTTTGACTGTTAATTTAACTTCAATATCCTATATCTCATTTTGTGAAAAATATATCATGGGTCTTTTATGCCCAAAGGCACAAAACAGCCAAACCGTCTTGCTGTGACTTTAATTGTTTTCCCAGAATTTTAGTCACAAGAGATTATTTTTATGGAAAACAGTGCATGGTCATTGTAAGTGATGCTGAATAATATCTGGACACCACAGAGTTTATGGGACAAAAAAAGGTTTAATGTAAAGGGTGGGTTCTCTCTTAACTCCCCCCCCCCCGATTCCCCACCCATAAGTCTAATGCTAATTTTTTTATTATTTAATTAAGGACCTTATCTTTTCTTTCAGTTTTAACAGTGGGCCAATTTCTTTGACATAAATTGATAAGTTGTGATAAGACTTTTGTTTTATGTATTTCAGATTTCAAGATGTAAAACAGGAGAATGATCTTCAGATAAGCAACAGTCACATGAAGTGAGAAGCAGAGGCTATATTACAGAATATAACTAAAACAAAAAGAAAGAAGTTACAGGATGAACTTGGAAATCTAACTGCAATGTGAAAGTTGACCACACGCTGAACTTTTGATTCCTGTGAGATCCTGATGTGAATCCTGGAATGACCAAAGAGATAAGGATGTGATCCAAGAAAGTTTCCACCACTTCGATTGAAGCACGAAAAAAGAATCTAGCATTTTCCTTCAAATCAGGATGATTTACCATTGCTGCGCCTCACAATTCCAACAAATGGAGTCATTTCTTGAATGCCACTGACTTCTTTTAATGTCACTTGTCTTAGATTACATTGTGGTTCATTTTCTTAGTCATTCAATAGCTGTAGTTTATAAATACCTTGTGTAACCCACATTCTGAGTGTCAGCTAAGGCCGATGTGACAGAATTCAGGTTCAATTATCCAGATTAGAATGAGGAAAGACACTGATTACGAAATACATCTATCCAAACTAATATCTCGAGGATCTGCGTGTTGTCTGTGTCATAAGAAGAAGACTAATGAGATTGAACCAAGGAAAATTGCTGTGATTGCCTGCTGAAATGAACCCTTGCGGTAAGAATCAGCTGCCTGTGATGATTCCAGGAACTCATTATATACGTGCAATCATTGTTGTGATGTTAACTTGGGAGTTCACATTATTTTCATTATAGATGTACTGTTGTAGTAGCAGGGACCAAATGGATGCATAGAAATGTGCAAATTGACAAAATAGTTCTGGATTTCATTGGTGTCAAAACAAGTGTTCAAGAAAGCCATTGCCAACGTGTTTGGGTAACAGAGTGATGTCAATTCATCAACGATACAGGAAGATTGTGCGTGGAGAAAAATTTGACCAAAGTTTATAATTTTGAGTGTGTGGACCTAGTCACCAGATTCTTGATGTTAGATGAGATTACATTCATCCTCATCATGGGCAGTTATTAGTGAAGTTTTCTTCGCTCAAGCAGATTGAGTTTTTAGACACACTGGTGACATTTTTGAAAATGTCATTTGATTTCCGACAAGTATTAGATAAAAAGGTCACAGAGATAAATTCTTGGTGACTTTTTCAATAAAAAAAAAACAAATTTTCAGTTTTGCAGGGGAGTATTCATAAAGTTGACCCCTGTGTAAATGCAGGAACAAAATCAGTGGACAGAAGTGTAGCTGACATTTTGAAAACCTTTTCAAGCATTGCAGGGTGTCAGTTTGTGTTTTGTGGGCATGACATGATGAATTTTAATGAAAGTTCCAAACCTTGGACAGCTCATGTTCCATTGTGTGCAAACTGCCTAGAAATGACAGAGGAGCTTTGTTTCAAAGTATCTTCATAGGCTGTCACTGTAGTCTTCCTGCGGTTCTGTTTGATGGCAAAATCATTCTGAAGACAAATGAGAAGTGGGATTTACAGGATTTGGTTTTCATTTTTAGAATGTTTCAGTGCTGGAGGCAGTCACAATATCTCTCTATCATTACCACTGTGGTCTAAGGTTCATGAGACTGCTCTGTGAGACTTTTGGCCTTTATGCTGGAAGCCACACCAGGGATGGGAGTTTGATTCCCTCTCTCTCCACAATACTTTTGTGAAACAAGTCTGCCATCAGTCCTGCAGGGAACATTATTACCAGAGAATGGCATCTAACTAGATTGAGTGCACTTTTGTTTGACAGATCATAACTTTTAGTGATTTGATGCAGCATATTTGCAAGGACTAAAGATATTCATTGTGTTTCAGTTCATGCTGTGTATCTGATGACTTATAGAGATGCAGGTGATGTTTTTTTAATGCCCTCTGTAAATATGGAGTCAGAGAGATAACAGTGGGCAGCATAAAAGTGGTATATATATATATTGATGCTTTATTAAGACGATCCAAGATGTGTGTATTTTGAAGTCACTGTTTACATCTTTTTGGCAATGGAAACATTTCTCAGTGCACAGTAAATACAAGTGGGTGGCCCGTACAAAGCAAGGACTCAGAAGGACTTTAAGTGCTCAGAGGTGTGAGAATGGAAGTTGCATTCCAATACGATAGCTTTTTCATTCTTCTCATAATGTTCCTCATTTGGTTTTTCAACATTCTGATGTTGGTGATAGCGTGGAAAACGTGCGCCTTAAAAAGCATCAATCGATACTTCTTGACATCAATGACTGTGGCAGATTTATTAATTGGTATTTTCATCGTACCGTTTTCATTTTGGACTTCGTTGTTCAGTGAATGGGTATTCAACGATAAATTCTGTCATGTGGAGGCCTATCTGAATGCAATATTATGGATAGTTTCATTATATTCTTACATGTGTTTGTGTATTGACCATTTTGTTGGGATCAGAAAACCACAGAGGCATGAAGCGGAGCTCTCGCCACTGCGATGTTTTTGTTGGGTAACACTGATATGGATATCTGCATTGTGTTTTTGCTGTCCCCTCATGTTTGGAGAAAATCGTGGACGGTATGAAGACAACACCCACCTTTGTGTTATAGATTGGAGCTCGCAACGGGCATACTTCATTACATCAGGGGTGGTTATAACAGTGCCTGCGTTAGTCGTAATAACATTCACTAATTTGTACATATTCACAGATGATTATAAGAACAGGAAGGAAGTTTATGAGAAATTTTTCACTTGGAATCGAGGAGGGCGGCCAGAAAATTACTTTGCAGCATTTGTGATTGGACTGGTGTATCTGTTCTCGTGGCTGCCATGGTGCATCGTGGAGCTTTTTGACCATTTTAAAATCTTAGGGTACGATAAGTACCCGCAACAAATGGACTTTTTCCTTTTGTGGCTTGTTGTATCAAATTCCTTCTTTAAATTGCCAGTATTTTTACTGTGTTCACAAGAATTCCGTGATGGTCTGAAATATGTTTGGTATAATGTCAAAATGGCGTGTAGATCTTCCATCGAAATCACCACTGCCATTTAGACTTTTGCGTCTAAAAAGCTCAAGAATAACTATTTACTGTATGTGTCAAATAGAAAAATATGAGTGTGTGATGAGATTGTTGAAAAGTTGTGAATTTCACTAAATTTAGTTGATTTTTTTAAACTTAAATTCTTAATCATTTTGTATAAATAAGTCATATAATGCACTAAAATACTGTGAACTCTATCAAAAGTCAAGTGATAATAAAACAAAAAATGTTCAACCTCACAGGACTCCTTTCTCAACCCAAAAACATTCATATTGAAGTATATTCAAATGTGTTGAAAATCAATACAGAAAATACGAGAGATGATGCTTGAAATAATAATATATTTTTCATATGACATGATTAGTCCATTAAGGATTTGATTATCATATACCTGTACATGTACATATTTATATATCTTCATTGAAAAGTTCAAAGGTGTACTTCTGCAGATATTGAATACACTAGGTTACAAACAAGTGATACAAGGATCGCTCATGATAGTTACTGTACTAATTTGTTGAAAGTAATATAGTAGTAATTTTAATTAAAAGTTAACATGGATGATTTATCATCATAAAGGAATATCCATAAGTCATTGTGAATAAAAGTTGGAATGAAATATGATGGTGCTTGAAGTCCCAAGGTGCTCATGATCAGTACTGTACAGAATGCAGTTTGACTCTTAGACCCCATTCCCAGAGATTAGATCGATCCAAACTAGATCGACCTAACTCCCTGGGGATTCACGCTAAATAGCTGTCAGCCGAGCGGGCATGAAAGTTAATTACCCCCTTACAGCTTGTAGTAGGCGGGACGCACATTTAAGCCGGATTATCTGACAATAATCTAGTGAGACTCCCCACAGGGATAGATCGATCTAAATGTCTGGGAATACGCCCTTAATTGAGGGGTTCGTTGTTGGGTGTTTATCTGTCAGACACAATAATAATAAATAATGTACTTTTGTTTCATTCAGACAGATATATATCTTGAATATGAGATTGTTGATACACCAATGTTTGTTCCAGTGATGTGTGGATATCATTCATTTCGTATATGTAAATGTATAATGATATTTTTATAATGCGTACCCCATGTTTTCTTCATTCTCAGTATGTGTATACTGTGAAGTTCAGAAATGTTTGATTTACTCATTTGTTTTTCATAAGCACCTTTGAGGCTTTCAGTAGTGTGGTGAAACTTGGCAAAATAAAAAGTTTGCAGCAATATTGCCCCATACTAAAAGTTGGCAGCAACAAGTTTGCAGGAGTTTGCAAGAAAAAAATTATTGCTGCTAATTTGCATTGATTTTCATATTGTAGCAAATTTGCTGCAAATTTGCAAGAAAGAATTGCAGTTTGCAGCAAATTTGCAACAAGCCTGATATTTTACTAAGGGAAATTATGAACTTGAAAATATTTATATTTTTCATTGAATGCAGCATATGGTGATTTATCATCCTTGTGATTATGGTAGCCTTAAGACATTTCCTTAGCAAAATGAAAAGTTAATGGCAAGGAGTTAGCACAAGTTTGTAAGAAAAATTTGTATTGCTGCTAATTTCACAGCAAAATCGCAAGAACATCTTAAGTTTGTGGCAAGTTTGCAAGGAAGTCTTTTTAGTCTTGAAAATTTGCTGCAAATTTGCGAGAAGCCCATTATTGACATTCAGGTTTGCAGTAAGTTTGCAGGAAAGTATTCATGTTTATGCAAATTTGCAGCACATTCAACAAATTTACAAGAACATAAAATTCCTTTTTTGCAAATTTGAATTGAATTTGTGAGAAAGTTTGCAGCAGGCCCGTTTTTTCTGCTAAGGGTTAGGCTGCCTACTTAGCTGCATACATTTGTACATGGTCAGAATGGCATTGTAATGCTGAAACCAAATGCCACTTCTTGCTCTTACTGAGGATTGTAGAGGTCATATCCAGGGTATCTCCCATAAACTATGCTTGTTTGCACACACTAAAGTCTCATAGTTACATTATTGAAGAGAGTTATTGCATGTTCATCATGCTGAACAAAACAATCATTGTCTTTAGATTTCACTTCAGATTAAGTCACGTTGCAGTAATTTCAGTTCAGAAGGCAAAGGTCAAAGGTATAGCACCTAACTGTATTTTTAAAAAGTAGTTACATTTGTTTACCATTTTGATCTGAAAAATGTTTAATTTGTCTTATTTTATAGATAAAATTACATTATGGCAGCCTATAATTAAAATGGTATTTGTTTCGAAGAATTTCTTTGACATTATTAGTTCAGGTGATTTGCTCTATATAGAAAAGCGAGAGTACAAGTACTTTGTAGTTTTATTGTTTGTTAATCAAGTTGTAATTGATAATTGTTCTACTTGTACGCCAGTTATAGGTCAATGTAATCAGATGTTTTTTCTGAAAAGGTCCAAAGGATGGTATTAATGTGATAATCTTGATTATACTGAAGCTTTCAGTACAAGTTTGAAAACAACAGAACATGGTAGATGATTTTTATCCTTACCAACAAAGATGGTTACGTAAGTGGGATCAGATTATATCAAACTACATATTGATATGTAAAATATTAAAGAAACCAATTCAAAGTAGTAGTTTGATGTGTAGTTGTTTTTTTTTGTGATTGATGTATTCTCTCTGGTGTGCTCCGTGGCCATTTAGAAGCACTTAATTACTGCTATATCTGTATGAAGGCATTCATAACAGATGATCCTTGGATCTACTGATCCGCTGATTCAATATGGTGAATCCTTCATAAAAAAGAGCCAACTAATCTGCAGATGGTCTCTCTGCCTCCGCATGCACCATTAAACTTATTAAATCAGTGCTCCAAGGTTTAATTGCTAGATCCCTTTTAGGATGGTGCATCTTGAGGCCGCCATTTCTCTTATAATAATAATTTGGAATTTTTAAAGCCAAAATAGTTTTATCTTTTAAAAGTTTTAGTTGGACCTTCTTCCTGTCTGTAATTTGTATTTATAATTAGATTTCAAACATAGCACACTTCCTCTTTGCAGCAAATTAATTTTTTATGCCTTAAATTTGCTTGGCCTGTCAATTGATTTTATCTCACATGGGGAAACCAAATTATTTAAATTATTAAATTGAAGTAGAACATCTTTTTTCCAATTTGCAGTTTGGAATAATTCAGAATTTTTCTAGACACATAACACAAACTAGTACTCCATGCCAATTAAACCATGCTGCAAGTTTAGGGAGTCCCATATCAAATTATAACACCATTATGCAATATTGTTTTTGAATGAGGATATGTCAAACCCTTGGAGACATATACTATATAATGAACTGTCTGGTAGAGCCAGAGAACTAATGGATGTATTGTGTTTTTCTATATATCTGTTTTTTCCCCGGCATATATCTGGGACAGGAGATACGTTATTATAGAGTTATTTGAATGAGTTGACATGAATACCAAGTTCCTTTGAGATTTCAACACACTGACATATTGCGGCACTGCATTGATAAAAGTATTAGAAATATGTCCCTGATTGTAAGACAATAGAGACAAGTTTTACCAGAATCCAGTCATTCTAAGAAAAATTGCTTCCTAATGGACAGAAGGAGTAATTATAGGAAGATAAATAATTGGAAATGTCTGAGAAATATGAGTAAGTAATGATCTTTTGAGCACGAAGTTTTGGATTGTCGTTAGTCTGACGCAAGGGGTCATCTGTTTTTATGATTCAGAAGTAAGATTGTTAAAGACTTTGAAAACTAAGTATATTCCCAGTGTTAACAGACAAAAATAATGTACATTTGATGTGTATGATTGGAAAATGGCACAGATATTTATGATAAGTACCTATAAAGCTAAGAAAGAAAGGTAATAGTGGTTCAATTATATTTATATAAGAAATGTGGTTTTGCCCCAACTGCCTGATTGAAGTATACATAATTTAATGTTTGCTCATATATTGAGCAGTGTTTGATTCCCCTTGTTGTCTTGACCAGGTTTGGAACTTAAAAATTGACAGTCTCACAGGATTGTGGCTGGTCATGGTTTGTGGTTCAAGGTGCATATGTGGGTCCGGGGGAGGGGGGGGGGGACCTTGGTTTGTGTGAATCCATCTCTTATGCAATAATCAATATGTCTAATTATGTGTTAAATGATATTTTGTCCCATGAGGAACATTAAATACCAAACATCAGCCCCTTATTGATCATATAATCTATAACATTGTAAATTTTAAGATATTATAGCACTTATGATGCTGCACAGTAGTGGTTCACACCTAATTATTTGCCAATTATTTCAACTGTAGATTGTTTATACAAAGATCATAGTTGATACGGCCTGGCTTCCAGAATGCATGCAAGCATGCTCACACACATGCACACAAACCAGTACATCATTGTTGTAAAATGTCAAGAATTTTCATCTTTGGTGGAAATTTAAAGTACAAAACAAAGCTAGGGAATAAACAATGTGTTCATTACCTTCTGGTGATAATTATCACTTTGTGGTACAGTAACATAGCTATATTTTGTGTGTAGAAGAAGAGTGTTATACTGGTCAGGACTGGAAAACATCCAGGTTAAAGAAAATGCCAATTAATATAGTATAATTTTATCTTAATTCTGAAACATTCAATGTTTTTACACTGTACCTGATGTTTCCTCCACCTAATCACAAAGTACAATTAAGCCCAAGCATACTACCCCTAGCGCCAAGGAGTCCAATCTGTTTACAGTGTGATAGGGCATATTATATATACGTACATGAGTACTTGCATAAAAGAAAGTCACTTTCAACACTGTGATCCTCAGGGTATTCAGCAATTTTTAAACAGGGTGCCAGTGTGTAATGTCTTAGTAATAGACCTATTGTGCACTGATCATGCTCTCTCGCAGGAATATAACATGATGTGAAAGGATATTGGAATTTCTTCTTGATATGTTGCCATGGCAACAGACTCTTAAGACTGCTTAATTCAGTTTCCCCAGATCTCCAAACAACACGTACATTATTCTCATTTGTCTCTAAATGGAAGACAGAAGAAAATTTCCATCAGCATTTAATTGTCAAAAACAATTGCTTCAAAAAATTGAAGGCAACTCTAAAATGATAATTGTAAGCTGATCTAAGCTTGGTAGTTCATGTCTTATACTTGTACCTAATGTTATATGAAGAAGGTACGACTCAATGTGGTAAAATAAGACAGATGTATGCTGGAAGGCAGTTTGTTGTTTAGTGCAAGTTAGGAAAAGAAAGTGTCAATGAAAGTAAATAAGTTGCTCTGGGTTCCAATTGACTAAAAAGGCAAATTTGTCTACTTATCTATTTCTTTCCTTACATTAGCCTTTTTAGAGGAAAGCAGAAGGTGACAGGGGTGTGTAGGAAAACAAGATTAGTTAGCTGGAACTAAAGTTGGGAGGGGGGGGGGTAATGGAAGTATATGTGCACAATCTCATCCAGCACTATGTTTGCAAATTCTTCAAAGTAAAAAAAGAAACAACAGAATTGGTAAGGCTTTTTAAAGTCAATTTTCCAGTAAGATAAATTATTATCATTTTTTTATTAAAGTTTTGTGCACAGATCTTGAATTTTGACAAAAGCCATTCCTTATAATAGACAAATAACTTCTGGACATTCTCACCACAAATTAGCTGACGTAATATGCTTTTTGCAACAAACTTGTGTGTACAGCATAATCTGGCCTTTGGGATTGATATTATGCAATACATTGAGAAACAGACCATTTGCTGTCACTGCAGGTCAATTTACCATGAGGGTTCTAGCCTTCAATGACATTATAGTTACTTCGAGCCCTTTTGTTTCTCCCAAAGCGCCCCATTTTTCAGAGACTGTCAGACTGTTTGAACAGATTATAACTTTCCTATTTCCCAAGGGAGGTGGGTAACATTCCAGAGACCAAGGAAAGATTACGTTTATTAGGAATGAACTTCAGAGATCATAATGAACAGGGCATGAGCTTCTGTGGAATGTCTTCGAGATACAGGTGTATCAGTACTTTTCTGATATATCACTTCAAGGAACTTAATTAAGTCATTCCATTAGTTATTTTTGAGGTGATGGAGAGACTTGAGGGTGATGCAATGTAAAACATATCACTTCTGTATCAATTTGCTTAATATGGCTTTTGAAGCCAAGAAGCATGTCAAGTTTCTATAAGAAAGCCGAGTGAATGCCGGTTCCACTTTCAGAACCTTTCTCATTAATTACTAATACATTAATTATTAGCATCTGCCATGTGACCTGTTGAAATTTTTATTTCAGTTCAAGACTATGGTACCTGATGTAAACATTTTTAATGTTAAATGTGTATCATTTTCCAGAGATTTTATGGAAACTCATTACCATGTGGAAAGGAATCTTTCAAGGATCCGTGCATTGGTTTACTGACAGCAGAGCAGGCACTGGCAGACTACGCAGTGTTGCTGACACAGCTGAAGAAAGATTTTGGAGCTCAGAATGTCCCTGTTATTGCCTTTGGGGGCAGGTTTGTACTTAAATGCTTTTAGTTATTTTTTAAATGCAAAATTCCAAGTGCACTTGTTTACCTTTTTTATTTCAGGTAGAGGTTTCAGAATATTCTTTTGACGTTTTGAAACTTATATGTATCACCATATTAAAATTTTTGTTCAGCTTGGGAAGGACGTTTGCAAAAGTAATTAAGACTTTTAATCATCTAAAGGCTAATAAGAAAATTTATTTGTAGGCTCTTTTTTTCTGAAAATTCATTTTTAAAATTTGCTTCAAAAATTTTACTTTGTAAACAGTCAGCACAAGGTAGCCATAGATTTTATAAAGGGATGGCAACATTTCTGTAGTCTGACTTTTCTTTATTTACATTACATTTTATCCCTTTCACAGTTATGGTGGAATCCTAAGTGCATACATGCGGTTTAAGTACCCCAATGTGATAGATGGTGCCATTGCAGCCAGTGCACCATTGCTGTCCGTAGTTGGGGCTGCTCCAGGAACTTACTTCTGGGAAGATATAACTAATGTAGGTTGAATTTCAATTCAACTAAATTAAAATTTAGTTTTCAAAGTTGTCTGTGAAGAGAATGAACACTACATCAACTTACCCCCCCCCCCCAAAAAAAAAAAAAAAAAAAAAAAAAGGAAAGAAAACTTAAATTGCAGGGTTGCAAGACAAAATGCATGGTAATCTGAAGCAACAGCAATGTGTGCTTTGAAATGTAAATTGGATCCCTGTTTGCACTGCTCAAGAAGGTGCAACTCAAGTATTTAACCATTAGTTTTCAGTAAAAAAATTCCCTTTCTCTCCACATTAAGTAAATTCAACCCTCATTTGAAAGTGTGTAGAAGGCCAAAGTGATTGTGTTAGTTGTGACTTCAGGATTGTGCCATGGCTCATCCAGAGTGCGTCCCCAAGACTAGAGCTGCTTTTCTTGAAATGGAAATGATGTACCAAATGGGCAGTAAAGGTACATAGCTTTCAGACATTGCTTATAAGTTGAAGACAGAAAGAGTGAATATGTTAAAATATAATTGTTGAATATTAGTATAAAGAGTATATAAACTATAGTTTCATAAAGAATTAAATCCTCTTGAAAGTTTCATTTGTACAGCTGCAATTACACATAGTAAACTTTTATTTCAGAATGTCCAAAGGGATAGAATCAATGAAAGCAGAAATTAAAGCTGACATATTTGATAAGATAGTATCTTTATCATACATTTTCTTTACAATTTTACATACATGCCAACAGCACATATGGAATGGATAGTTTGTTTGTTGCCAATGGTTAAAACATGCATACTTATCTTCTAGTAACTGCTCTGCGTGCTTTAATGATCTCAACATTTCTTGCAGGACTGCAGCAGCTCTCTGCAATATTTAAGCTGTGTAACCCATTGAAAAATAAAGCAGACTTCAAACACTTGCAGGGGTGGACAAGGAATGCTTTTGCCAATGTGGCCATGTTTAATTATCCATATCCTGCAAATAACCTTCCTGCAAATCCCATACAGGTAGCATTTGTTCTCAGTAAATAAAAGTCTCATTGTTTGTTAAAAAGGATGATTTAAATTAATGAAAACAACAAGATAATTTTCTGCAAATTCATCATTGATAATTGTGGGAACATTTTAATTTTGGGGTAGGTATACCTCATTCTTTCAATATGTATACCTTTGAATAGTAGTTCAGAATGTTATATGACATAAATGATGATAATTGTAATGATAATACATGTAATAAGAAAAGTGATAAAGCAGCAATAGCTGAAGAACTTTGTATTAATATCCATTTTTTTCTTTCAACAGTATATGTGCAAGCTTATCATTAATAGTAGTATCGTGGAGTTGAACTTAAAGGGTCTGGCAGCTGCAGCAGGCAAGCAACACTTTTAGTTTGTATAAAACTTTTCTTGATTAGAATTGTATGTTTTTTTTTCACAAGAGACAATAAAAAACCTATTCCCCAAATTTCAAGACTGCAGGATCCATCTGTTCTAGCAGAATCCATCTAATTCCGAGGGGATTCTCGCTAAATTGCATTCAGTTTAAGCAGCTTAAATGTCTGTCATGCCCACTGAAGCTGCTATTAACTTTTGTGCACACTTAAACTAAATGCAATTTTGTGAGAAACCCCTCCACATAGATCGATCCTGCTAGTACGATAGGGTATGGGAATGGTCCCTAAATGTCATCTTATCACATACAGCATACAATGTACGTGTACTTTAGCTCTCAGATGTTCTTTTGTATTCACAGTAGGAATGGGAACTCAGATCAGGATCTATTCAGTCTGACCCTTCATTTTATTTGTAGGTTTATATTATAATGCAACCAGTGGAAACAGTAGGACGTGTTTTGACATTTATTCTGACTTTGTGGAGTGTGCAGACCCCACGGGTTGTGGTGTGGGCTCTGACAGTTTGGCCTGGGACTTTCAGGTGGGTATACATCTAGTTAGATTATAAGAGTACTTTATGATCTGTGTATTTCTTCAAAAATTAAAGGATTTGGTGAAGATTTTCAAAGTGCTTTCAAGCAAAGATCCAGTACTTGGATCATGTTGGTTTTCTAGTTTCAAGTCGCTTCCAGTGCAGTCAACTTTTCAATGTATAGAACTTGTTGAACAAGTGGATAATCAGACTGTTTAATTTTTCTGATAAAAAATTTAAAAAAAAATAACTTACACATGATACAAACTGTATAATTAAGCTAGTATGAGCATGCTATTCACTCAATTATCATAGTGTTGGTACACATAATATTAATATGCTAATTGAATCAATAAGATGTGTTGTAGTGTTCAATCTTTGCCAGTAATTTGCCTGTCATTGGTTATGAATGGAACATATACATGGCCTTACAGTACTTATCCATGCTACCTAATTTATATGTTTTCTTAGGCCTGCACTGAGTTTGTGATGCCACCTGGGAGTGACGGAGTCAGTGACATGTTTCCTGTCCTTCCCTTCACCCTGGCTATGAGGACAGAATACTGTCAGCAGAGGTGGAATGTCACTCCAAGAGATAACTGGACTAGGATAAATTACTGGGGACCAGGTAGATACACTTCAGCCCCATTCCCATACACACCTGGATCCATTTACCTGGATCAACTCAACCTTTTGGGGACTCTTGCTGACTGCAGTCAGCTTAACTGAATGATTGGCATTAAGTAGAATGCAGAAAAGCTGGTGATTATGCAAGTACCTTGGAAACGAGGTGTGTCATTCTGTTAAGCTGATTGCAATTAGCGAGAGTCCCAGTGGAGTTGGGTCGATCCATGTAGACCAATGGTGTCTTTGAGAATGGGGTCTTTAACATGTTTCCTTTCCCTTTCCTTGCCCTGTTCTTTGCACAATCTGTGAGGAAGGTCTGGTGTCAGAGCAGGCAGAATGTCACATTGTTACATGACCTGCCCAAGATATACTCAGTGTACATGTACAGGTACATGTAGTTGTATTACTGATCAAAAAGCAAACATCAAATAACTTATTGCCTAAAGCTGTTACATTGTACGGAGTGATTTGAAGGCTTTAAAGCTACAACTTTTAAGTTATTAAAATTAACATTTTTGTGTTGAGCATGCAGTCTTTAATTTTGTTAATTATTTTTTTAGATATTGAAAGTTCAAGCAACATTGTGTTTTCTAACGGAGACTTGGATCCCTGGCACAGAGGAGGGGTGGGTGTTGAAATATATTGGGACTTCAAAAAACTTGTTAAGATATTGGAAAACTATCAGCTCTCTCTCTCTCTCTCTCTCTCTCTCTCTCTCTCTCTCTCTCTCACTCACACACACTAAAACATCAATAAAGNCACACACACACACACACACACACACACACACTTAAACTCAAACATGTAGATATTGATTATATTTTGATACTACATTTTGTACAAATATTAGGAAAATTATCCCCTCCCTCTCTCTCTCTCTCTCTCTCTCTCTCTCTCTCTCACGCGCACACACTAAAACATCAATAAAGATATTGATTATATTATCTTACTACCATACAAAGCATGATTACACTGACAATGGCACATGGTGAACTTGTATTTTTTATTCCCAGTGGTAAAATTATCAGCTTTTAGATTTTTAATATTTTATATTTCCTGTAGTTCAACTCCAGCCTTTCAAGCACCCTGATAGCAGTGAAAATAGAAGGTGGTGCACATCATTTAGATCTCAGGTACAATTATATACAACATTGATTATCATTTCAAGATTCTTCAGTTGTTCATTTAACGTTCCCTGTAACCTTAAATCTTAATTGAATCTCAGTTAAATACCAGTAACTTATTCTTTGTTTAACCATTTGTACTTGTTTACAATTTTTAGAATTATAAAATTATTTTGATGGTGTTCAGGAATTTTCAAATGCAAGTTATGTTTTATGAAATGTTAATTTATAATTTTTTTTACATCAGATCTAAAAATGCAGCTGACCCACAATCAGTGATCAAGGCAAGAAAAGTGGAGGTGGCCAATATACAGAAATGGATAAAACAAACTCGTCATTTAAAAGGAAAAGAACCAAGAGTCGATGATATCTATGTATTAAAGGCATTAAAAGAGATTTTAGAGGACCTGTAGTGATTCAAAATATTGAAATGATTATATGATACTTAATTAAATAAATAAATATAAGTAAGTACTGGTAAATAAATAGTGAAATACCTTCAGATGCATGTGTATTTGCTGTTATGTTGGAACACAGAAACATAATTTAAATTTTGTTCTTCTTACAGAAAATGGAACAGTTGCAAAATGAACTGTTTTTTCAATGTGTATAAATGATGTTTAATATACATGTACAGGGGCAGTTTGGTTATAATATGGGTACCCACTACTTATACTGATTTTCAAGTCGAAAGATTTGATTTGCTTAAAGATAAATATTCTCATCGGAGTAAACCAACAAATCCTTTTTGATTTTGATACTAGTAATCATAGATAATATGATATATTTGATTATATTGAATTATATACATTATTATATTTTACTTATTTGCCTGTTTGTTTATTTAGTTATTTATTTTGAAAAACGTTTTAATTTATATAATTTTTTGTTTCATATTTCTTACACACTTGTGTTTATGTCATAAAATGGCAATAATTTAAGTATGCATGTAAATGCTATATGAAGGAAAATAAATACTTCAGTAAAATATGAACACACAGTACATGTGCTGGTATATAAAACACATGATGGAAAACAGAACAAGAAATCCGAAATGAAATTATAATGATATTCGGCTCTGGTTTAATGTTGTACTACTATTCTATTTGGTACAGGGTAATTGAAAATTCATTACTGTAACCGTAAAAAAGCATTATCTAAGTCAACTCCAATTATTTCATTCGGAGATGAAGACTACAGAAACAATGTAGATGTATGACTACCACAGGTATTCCGTGGAATCTATTTTGATAGAATTGGTCTTATAAAAACCACAGCTGTGTCCCAAAAACCCCGAGCCCTGGTTTTGCCTTGATCTCTCCGACTTAAAACAGTTAGGAAGGTTGAACGAGGGTAGAGTGAGTTGTGGGCCAAAAGTACACTGCAAGCATTTGGATTAACTTATTGAGTATTGTCGAAGATCAGATTAAATCAATAATGAAATCAAATTATCATCAAACCCGCCTTGGATGTTTGGATGTTTTAATATCTTTAAAAAGATCTTTTTTCACTTCTCGATGATCTGACTGTTGTACACGTAGAAAGAAAGCAGCACGCAGCGATAAACCAACATCATGGATATATATATATATATATAATCTGAGCGATATTTTTCTTCATTTCTTTGAAAAGAAAGTTACTGACCTCAGTTATCGACCAAAAGGTACTCGCCTATCTTCTGTTTCCATAATCCTTTTATATGCTATCTGTTATTTCAGTAGAGACAGTCAGGAAGGTACAATGAGAACTAATAAAGGAAAAAAAAAGCAAAAACAGTATCATCCAAGTTACAATTTCAAACAGCAAAGCAGGAGCGATACGTGCTTAAGTGAACTTATAACTTGTACGTGTAGATTAAGTAGAGCAGTTTGTGGCGTGAAATACTCATTTTCAGCCAATGTCATCTTTACTGTCACAAACACAATGTATCCGTAAGTCTCTAGATCAAGTGATGAATACCAGTACATATCTGCACGTATGATGTAGTTTAAATGAATATGGCGTATCAGAGTCCTGTTATTTTAACCTGTCACAAAACGTTATTTCATGCTTTTGGCATGTATGTGCAATAAATTTTAAGTAGTGATCTTAATGATACAACACAAAATTATTTTATAGTTTAATTTCAAACCTGTTATGTGTTATTTGCTAGTGTTTCAGGTAAAGCATGTAGAGTTCTGCGGAAAGAAAACTTTTTTTGGAATCAATTACGTGCGATGTTAAATGCAGCTACATGGACATTGAATTTACGTGACTTGAAAAGAGAAATTGGAGCTATTAATACATTTACATCAAAGATACACTAAATAGTCACGTAAAACACAGTGAATGGATTAATGAATAAATGTAATTGGGGAAATACCGAGTGAATAAAACAATATATGGCTACGACTTGCAGTCTGTAATTGATTTGTAAGACAATCATAATATTTGTTTCTTGAAAACGCTGTGTACAATGAATAAATTAATAAATGAGTAATATGACAATGTGAATTTAGAATACAAAGTTGGTTACTGAAAGCTAAACGAGGAAACTTATATACATTTGTGTGTGTCACTTAAAACGAAGTCATAAAGACACCATGGGTGAAATTCGAAATATTACAGTATGTAACACATATAGTTTCTAGAACATTCCATGCTTGAAACCGTGTTACACTTCGGCAAAAATTGACTTGAATATTGTCTTACTTCATGTGACATACAGGATGCATTTAATTAAGAATAAAATGAGTGCAGCTGTTCATTTTGTGACATACTCCGAAAGAAATGCACGCAAATTACAAAATGGGCGCAGCGGTTGGCCCCTCTCTCCCCCCCCCCTCTCTCTCTTGTGACATAAAATGCATGTATAGGCCCATATAATAAATTGGGGACAACAGTTGGCCGGGCAGCCGAAAATATATACTTGTACTACCCCTCAGATGTACATGTACCGGGGTAAAAGGTACATGAAGTCCTCTACAGCAAATATGTCATCGGAGATAAAAGCATGAAATCAAGTCATGTGGACAACTAAACAACACAAGTATGTCTTTTTTGGAGTCTTTAGTAACATCGATCACATCCCTACCGTCTCTATCCGTACACGTTTGTTTCCTGGGGTTTGTGTACATTTTTTCTGTCGAGGCATTATTCTTTAACGATGTTAAAGGGAATCAATGTCCCGCACGATATACACGGGCGCCTATTACACATCTGTGGAGAGAGAAAGAACAATATATCCATTGATATCTGCTTTTGAGGTTTGCCCGCAAAGAAAGGCTAAAGTTGTCATTTGCATACTGCATATTTTACTGAAATTATGACATCGATGGACGAGAACAAAACAATTATCAAAAAGGGCTCACGATCGAGTTTATTAAATGTACAGACATGCGCTAAAGGTTTTGTTTTACCGAAACAAAATTATGCAAAAAGACCGCCCCTCTTTTACGGCCCAGCTCCCGTTAAATTTCAAGTGTCAAAATGCAAAAGAAAAAGAAATGCAGCTATATGCAATGATCACTGAATAAAAACAATGGGCAGATCCAGTCGATTGTTTAAATAATAGCGAAGTTGAATTTAATCGCAAGCAATGCCTTAGGCAGGAATATCAGTTTATTGAATCCTAAGCACTCATCCACATCCACGTGCAGAATTAAAAATAAATACACTTCAACATCGATAAACCACGCATATCACATTGTACGAATTGTCACTTAAACCATTTAGAAATGTTCACTTTTGTATGATAAACATGAATGAACATACTCGTAGTTGATGAAGCATAAAGATGTTTTGGACTGTGTCATGTTACTGAAGAACTTAATGCCATCGTATGCTTCCGTGTTTTACTTTCAATAGTTGAGTAAAAGCAAATTCATTCAGAGAAGCAAGGCCGACTTGAAATCCAATATTGTTTACAAAGAATCTCCAACTGAAACTGCCGTGATAGCTATAGAACAAAGCGGAATTGCGCGTGACACAATCCTTTCTCCGCCAATTTGTAAAGAAGTATAATGCAAAAATTGGATGCTCATTTGCAATGCTGTCTCACAATCTAATGGGGCACTCCAAAACATATGTTGAGGAAAAGGTAGTAATTAATGCTCATTTGATCAATCAACTGTAATTGTATTGAACTGTAATCTAATTGATATCGTGTAGCACTCGCCTCAACACAATGCCATTTTAACTGACACTGTTGGTCCGCAAAAATATGATCGATACCGTGCCTCCACGACCTGTAGAATACCTTGTCAGCCAAACTCTATATCATGAATAAATTAGACTACTAATAGTGGTAATGCAGGCCTTTGTGTTCAAGTTGATGTGATGATCGCACCAGCGTTTTAAAAGCACGCCTGGATGCGTTTATAGATTTACTCATTCATTACGGAGGCTCGCCCAAAGTGCTAGTGCCGAGTGTCGCAATAACATTCTGCCGAACGATTCCGTCCAAGAAAAACGTCCTTCTACGACTCAGCAGTCTCGTCAATCCAAAAAGCAGAATGTCTGTGCTGCTTATGGCCGGCAGAAAGAGGGACAAGGGAAGGAGGTAAAGTGATTATTGCTGATGTTTAGAATACAAAGTTTGGTAGTCTTTTAGTAACCATAGCTTAGTTTGGTAATTGAGCTGATGGTTTGCGGCTGCAACGAGAATCGATTCCCATTCCTTTTACTCTGGTCCTTCGCACGCCGTCGCTATTTTTCAAAGGCATTAACCGTTGAAAGGATGTTAAGAATCATAAACTATGGAAAACATAAAGCACTGCTGTGAGAACGATACAACATTACATGCAAGCTATAGTAGGTATTTCGTGATGACTGACGGTATTTTGTGATACAAGACATGAACTCAAATCTTTGTAGATGACACCCGTAATACCTGCGTTGTTAAACATGACAGGGCTTGAATGTTAGACTTGAATTTGAAAACCGCACGCCATAAGGTTCAAAACACTGCAAACAAAGATAAAAACAAAGGACTGTAACTAGAAAAGGTTTGAGCAGTCAAGCTACATGTACGTCGCGCAGCAAGTTCGTGGTTGGGCATTCCATTACGACATCGTTCAAATTTTTTACAGTAACAGACTGTCAGTGCTAATACATGGGCAAAACTATGAGATAATTTTGCCATGGCGAATAAAAAAACTTCAGTAATTAAATGATTCTAATTACAGTTCCACCATGTAGAAAGATGTAGCATGTATTGCGCCATGAGCATCACAGGGCAGCAGGACAGAGTAAGAGTCGAGTTTATCAACACATATAATGTAGCCCTTTGTTTACGCTAGCTCGTGCCCACATTAAATGCAGATCTCTAAATGTAAAATTCAATGAATCGTAAAGACTAACAATACAGTATATTGATTGCTGCCATTTGCCGTATTAAGTCCCAGTGCTAGAAGATATAGCACAAGCGTATCGTGACGGTAGTCCACAACCAGAATCGTTTTAATTGGCACGATTTTATTGGCCCTAGCACATTTTACAAAGGCTATGACCAAACATATACTTTTGTAGAACTTATGGCTTAAGTTAAAATTAAATGCATATACTTTTATTAAAAAATAACTACCCGGTATAAAACTGAAGCCAATTTTAGACCATTAAAAGGAAGTCGGTGATTTGATTGCAATTAAGCGTCAGTCGAAGAACATTCACTATCGCTCAGCTGAGCCTAGATTACATTTGCTACTTGAAAGGGCGCCGTACGATGAAATCTTATTCGATTTTCCGTGAGATTTTTTGACATCGTAAGAGGCTACGCGCTTCAGCGTGTATGTTAACATTACGTACGGGTGCCGGGCCATTTATCCAACATGACCTTGGGGTCAGGTTAGGAAAATTGGTTTGTCGGTTGAAAAGTGATCGTTCAGTGTACTTTCGGTCCCAGGGCTGTCCTTCAGTGCGGCTTTCTTAAAAAGCGATGCGTTGTTTTAGCACCCATGTGGTCAGAATGAAAAACGCAGTACTTAACATTCATGCAGGTGAATTATACCTTAGTTTAAATATCTTCACAATTGTTTGTTTTTTTTTTTGTATTCCAAAACCAACAAAGGTGGAAAGGTAAGAGAACAACTACAGTTTCAAACATTATCACGATCACCGCAACAATGCCCGTACAGGAACTTTGCAATGCCATCTATGGTACAGCTACAGCCTACGTGCTTTCTATTTTCAAAATTGTCAAAAGTTTTAGTTTGACAAAATCGTACAGGCTGCGGAAGCCGTAAAACCGTACGATTTCGCACGGTCACCACCTGCCTCCTCTCAGATGGCCGCACGAAAAGAGATTAACGTGAATACATATGTGTCGGCTCCACCCTGTTCCTCAAATCTAATTCTATCCCTTGGTTCTAAATTGTTTCCGAGCAAATGTAACCTTGAACACGAACTTGTCCTACTGGAGAGTGTTAGGGTCATTTTAATAGATGTAGGATGCCACAAAGCAATGAAATAGAAGTTAATAAACCGTCTTTGCCCTAGTGGTTTTAAGTCAATGGTTCTGAAACAGGCAGTTGATTTATAATGCACTTCTCACTCAATGATGACAATAACCATATTCATGTTGGGTGCTTATGAATTATGTGTTCAATGCATGCAAAATGATGGCTACGGATGGATCATTCACAGTATCTGGTCATACATATACCACCTGGGAAAACAGGTGAAAGGCTCTTTAATGAATTATTCATTTTAATGCTCACATGTCACACGGCACGGGGGACTTGTTCGGGCTGTGCCATGATTCTAGAAATTATACACCGTGCAACTTCCGCTTTTTTCATCCCAGCTTTGATCTTGTACGTATTAACCTGTTTTTAACACCAGAAACTGTATGTTATTTGTGGCGCTCTTAAATGATTATTTTAATCCAGGTAAACCTAATTTTACCCATGCCACGTGAATCCGTTCCTTCATTTTTTTGCCATTCTTCATGCCACATGTCGTTATCATATGTAATCGAACAAATTAACAAAAATCTATGACTTGGGACAAAACTTTGTTTTTTGATGCATTCATTTGTCTTAAAATCTATCTATTAATGACGACGAAGTAATAGTGGGTCTAATAGGATAGTGCAAACAAAATTGCCATACAACAATTGACCAAAACAATCAATATTCAAAATTGAAAAGAAAAGCAGAAACACTTCAACATTCATCTTATGGTATTTGTTACAGCTAATATAATATAATATAATATAATATAATATGTCAAAGTGCTAATCTATAATTTAAAGAGTACGGTACTGTAGTTACGATAGCTTATTTAATGTGGAAAACAACACCAACGCCCGTGGACACCAATACTGGACACATATCAAGGCACATTTATGTCTACTTAGAAATTTCATTCAGATGTTATTTGCTTTTCTTCAGAAAACGCCAATGTTTGATTTCAACATGTATAATGAATCACAAAACGGGGAAGCTAATTTTTCTACTTTCTAAAACCATTGTCTTATTCAAATATGCCTTTTTGCAATTCCATGCTTGCAATGTGTTAGCTTAGATAAATACTGACAATTAAACGTGGCTTTCTGCCATTTAGACATTGGGGACCTATCAGTTAATTTGCAGTGGCGTAGTTATACACGCTCAAGGTAAGGATTCATGATAAAAGCTGTAAATATCGATTGTTTTAACTCAAATATTGATGATTGTAACTCAAATATTGAAACTTCTTTCAAGTTCTACGCATTTGTCGATATGTCACTACTGTGGTATCCTGTAAGGATCTGAGTAATAATAAAGTGGCATTGGGCATGTCTTCCTTTTATTCCGTGTAGAAGATTGGCCCCAGTTGGAAATTTAAAGGTACAAAGTGAAGATGTTTACATAAAAAACACCATCACGTGATTAATTTCGAGTGAAAAAGAATTTTTCAATTAACCAGGAATGCAAATGGTAAGGTGGGCGAGGGTGGGTGGGGATGGGGGGTGGGGGGGGGGGTGGATGCCCAACATCCCTTTCACTAGGTAAGTATTTTAAAAACTTGATTATGTATTTCACATAATCTCTTTGTACTTGTTGTCTTAAAAACGAATCGTTTTGCAATAGAAATCAAACTTTGTGTACGCTTTGTGTACGGTACGAAGTTTGTGTACGTTTAGAGCTGACGTAAATCACGGTCATTTTTGGAGTAGATGGTAGCGTCTGATGAACCAGTGGTAACCACGGTAAATCGATTGAAACACATTCGTTATTTAAGTTAACAATATAAAAGAAATACATGTACTAGTACAGAACGATCATCAAAAGGGCCTCAAAGGTTAACTACGTTTAACAATACCAGTACTTCTTCTCTCTCTCTCAATCTTTCTTCCCCTTCTCTCTCTCTCTTCTCTTCTCTTGTTAGCAAAGTCTATATGCATACACAAGGGACAAATGCACGTACTAGTATACATATAAGCCTTATGTACATTTCAGTAACTCGGCATCTGAATCAGAGGAAGAGACAGAAGATACTACTGAATACATTTCCTCCGGAAGCGTCAAAATGTGGACATGGACCTTCGATGGGGATAAACTTACTATAATATTCAGTAAGTTAAGTAATTAACACTTTTTATTTGTGAATTAGAGATATGTTTTTACAAAGAGAATGGTGGGAAACTTGCCAGCAAAGAAAGAATTTTCTTATGAGAAAGCGTTGTTCGCATAACTATACATTCTCAAGAATAGCCCTCTTATTTGTCGAACTTGTATTAGTATCATCTCAGTACAACATGCCTTATTTTGCTAATCTAAGTTTTCACTCATCGAGTAGGCCCCTAACTGATAAACCACCGTCATTTTTATCAAAGGCCATCGTCATAAACCACATGCATCTGAACCGAAAAACGACGTGTCATTATAAAATTCGGTTGAATTTAAATTCTCTTGTGGGGCATTGATTGTCATATACTGTCTGATTAAACACATAAATCCTCTTGATGCACTTGATGAGCTTTTCCTTTCAGGAAAGGACACGATGGAAGTATGGGTAGACGACGATAAAATTGATCCCACGGTTTGTATTCTCATTTTCGTTTATTCAACATAACAAATCAATAGAGATTGAATGTCCTTGAATCTTCTAATCTTTTCCTATGCAATCTCTCACCCTCTCTCTTTTGGTGCCTTTTTTTTATGAACACAATATTGGAGCCAGGATATCAAGAAAAGGGCGAGGGGACATAAAGTTCACCTTCCATTTCCCTTTCAACTATTTGTTTTTGAAAACGAGACTGCTTGTCTTCCTGTGGATTTAATTGTCATTCCTCTTTCAAGTTTAACTAAACAGCAACATAGCAGTCAATGCACCAATAGTTTTGTCAAATAATATGGCACAAAATAAAAGAAAATATTAACAGAATTCAATAAAATAATATCAAGTACTATAATACCATGAATATGAACAAATCAAATGGATATGTCAGACTGTTACCCTGTAGTTTATCAGTATGTGCAGTTTTCATAAATGTACATGTAGATCTAAAAAAATTGTTGCACCGGAACCATACACTTTAAGTCTGAAAAAATCTGTGTGCAGTAATTTAATGCATTAAAATTGCATTATCATAACTCATAATTCTCCGTAAATAAGACTCATTGTAAAAATAGATACCTTGATTTATTTTTGTCCCATATCGATGGTTGATGGGTTATTTTGCAGTTCTATAATTGATGCAGAAACGATGAAAGGAGCATTTACCAAAATTCATATATATTCTAATAAGTACGTTTTATTACTAGCCTGAAAACCAAACCACCACCTACTTTTGAAAGTGAGGTGAATTTCACAAAATCGTCTCAGCACAAACGGCAAATGGTGGCAATTTGACCTTGACTGTATTGAGCAAAAAGGGAATGTATGTATTTTATGGGTAATTGCACGACATTATACATGTAAAACTGTATTGATATCCAGTTTATTCAGGACAGTACGTTCCCACGAGGATAAAAAGTGCAGGTGCACCAGTGTCGAAACACAGGCTGCTTGGTATACAAGTTGACTTCGATTTTCAATATGTTCTTTTTTCCTCAAGGGGCGTGTGACAAAAATCGAACGTGCCTTTCAGCCCAATCCATCGTATATTCTGAGCCAATAAATAAGACGAACTGTAAGTAAGGTGGGAATATAAAGCGTACATGAAGCTCAGGGCCGTAGCCTCCGGGGGGGGGGGGGGGGGGCAGGGGGGGCAGCTGCCCCCCCTGGAATTTGGAATTTTACACACCAAACCCCCCCCCCCCGGGAGCTTCGCCCCCCCGTGTCCCCTTCCTCCCCCCC